GCACTGGCTGCTCTTCCAGAGGTCCTGAGTTCAATTCCCAGCAACCACATGATGACTCACAGCCATCTATAATGAGATGTGCTGCCCTCTTCTGGCGTGCAGGCATACGTGCAGGCAGAGCACTGTATACATAATAAATAAATAAATCTTTAAAAAAAAATAGGGACATGAAGCTGCAGTCCCCACTCTTGGGAAGCCAAGGCCAAGAGGACAGAAAGTTTGAGGCCCAGCTACATAGCAAGACCCCACATCAGAGTCATCCCTAAATTCACGGTCCAGGCTGGACAATGGCTCAGTGTATACAGGCGCTTGCACCAAATCTGATGACCTGCCTTCAATCCCCAGAACCCACATGGTGGAAGGAAGGAGAGAGCAGACTCCACAGACTCCTTCAGGCTGTCCTCTGACTTCCGCCTTGTTTAAATACACATGGCCCTCCTAGGCTCATCTATTCGAATGCTTAGGTACTGGGGAGTGACTCCACTTGAGAAGGATTAGGAGGTGTGGCCTTGGAGTAGGCGGGGCCTTTGGTGGAAGTATGCCACTGCTGGAGGGCTTTGAGGTTTCCAAAGCCAAAGTCAAGCCCAGTGTCCTTCTCTTTCTGCTTCCTGCTGATCCAGATGTAGAATTCTCAGTTCCTTCTCCAGCACCATGTCTGCCTGCATTCTGCCATGTTCGCTGCTGTGACAATAATGGACTAAACCTTTAAACTGTAAGCCAGCCTCCATTAAATGTTTTCTTTTATAAGAGTTGCATGATTATGATGTCTTGCTGTTGACTGAGGTTTCTGTCCTGCTTGGTTCCTGCGGTTGTTAAGTCCCAAAGAAATCACACAGAGGTCTACATTAGTTATAAACTGATTGGCCCATTAGCTCAGGCTTCTTATTAGCCCTCATAACTTATATTAGCCCATTATTCTTGTCTATATTAGTCATGTGGCTCGGTACCTTATTCGGCGAGGCAGTCACATCTTGCTTCTTCTGTGTCTGGGTCATGACTGCAAACTAAGCTTCCCTCTTCCCAGAATTCTCGTTACCCCCACCTCTATTTCCTGCCTGGTCACCCCGCCTATACTTCCTGCCTGGCTACTGATCAATCAATGTTTTATTAAAATACGATCGACAGGGTACAAACCATTGTCCCACAGCATCTTGCCACGGTGATAAAACACTGAGATAGCCCACACACACACCATAGCATACTTGCATGCGTATACAAACACATAAAATAAAAATGTAAAAACAAAAAAATCATGATACTCAGATGATCATGTGACCCCAACCTTTGGTTTATCCTTGTATTTCTAGCTCTTGGGAGGTTAAGTTGAGATGATTGATTATTAGTTGGAGGCTAACCTGTGCTACATAGTGAGACCTTATCTCCAAAACAAATCAGATGAAACATGCAACCTAAACAGAGGTGACTGCCCAAGCTTCCCAGCATGCACCTGTATCGCAGGCAACATTGAGCACAGCACGGAAGAACTGTGGGTGACTCTTTCAGGTTATCTCTGCCACTGCAGTGCCGGACTGCAGCTAAGCCCCCTCTCGACACGTGCCTGGGGCCAGGCTGCAGAGAAGACCCCTCTCAGCACATGCCCAGTGTCTCCTCAGGAGAATCCCCAGAGGACCAATTGCCAGTGGAAGCAGATGCTGGTTTTCAGAAAGAAAAAGGGAGACTTCTCTCCCTCCCTTTGGTCCCTCCTTCCTTCCTGCCCTCTCTCCCTTCCCCCTTCTCTGTCCTCTCTTTCTCCTTCCTTCCTTCCTGACAGGGTCTCCCCCTTCTCTGTCCTCTCTTTCTCCTTCCTTCCTTCCTGACAGGGTCTCATGCAGTTCATTTTGGCCTTATACTTGCTGTGTAACTGGGGACGACCTTGAACTTCTGATCACACGTGTGAGTCACCACCCATGGCTGGGCTACTTTTCACAAGTAATGCTCAAACACAGAAACACAGTTCAGGAGGATGCCAGGGGACAGGGCCCTGTAGGAAGAGAGCTTCCCTTGCACGAAACCTGGGGTTCATTCCTACCATGACACTGGCTGGAAAGGCTGATGTGTGCTCCAGGGGTGGAGGCAGGAGGATCAGAAGTTTAAGGTCATCCTCTACTATGTTTTGAGTTTTACACCAGCCTGGACCACGTAAGACCCTGTCTCAAACTACACTAAACTAATTAACTAATGTTAATTTTTATCATTTATTTATGAAGATGTGTGTATGGGTACACACAGGCCATGGTGCCCATATGGAGGTCAGAGGTCAAAGGTTAACTCATGGGCGTCTATCTATTCTTCTTCCACCATATTGTTCCTAGGGAATTAACTCAGCTTGACCTACTGGGCCATCTCACTAGCCCCCCATCCCCTCACCCACTGGGCCATCTCATTAGCCCCCACGCCTGTTTCCCCCCCTTCCATTGTTTTTTTGTTTTTTAAGACAGGATCTCTCTGTGTAGCCCTGGTTGTCCTGGAACTTGCTCTGTAGACCAGGCTGGCCTCAAACTCAAGAAATCAGCCTGCCTCTGCCTCCTGAGTGCTGGGATTAATTGCATGCACCACCACAGGGCCTCTGCTTCTGTTCTGAAGCCCAAGGGTCAGACAGGAATCCAACAAACTGTAGTTTTTGCTTTGGTTTCCTGTAGATGAAACAATATTGGGTGCTGCACTGTGATTCGGGGGTTCCATGTCCCTAGGTAGATTTCTTTCCTAAGTGTGAAGCCCTCTGTTAGGTAGATGCCCAGCATGGAGACACAAACCAAGGGGACACGATCATATCTACCTGTCAGCAAGAAAAATGTAGAACAATTAGCATTGGGAAGAAAAGTCGAGCCAGGCAGATGTCAAGGACGGAAGACAGTTGGTTGTCTGAGCAGCCCTAATGAGGGCAAGGCTGAGGGCCGGAAAGGAGCATCAACCAGGCCATGAATTATGCATGGCCGCTGTTAAATATTTCATCCACTCTTAAGCACGGTTTATCTTAGCACAGCTAAATGAGGAACGAAAAAAAAATGCTGCGGTCGGAAGCTGCATCGGTCTAGTCACAGAACAGCCACCGAGCTCCCAAAGACGGCAATGCAGGGGCACACTGGTGCAAGAGCGGCTTCACCTCCCCCTTCCGGCCCGCCAGCCTTCCGATCAGGACCATATTCTTCGGCTCAACATGCTGGTTTTAAGACTGTATGCAGGGTTCCTAAGGGGCCTGAGTTCCCCTGGGAGTCCCGCAGTAAGTGGGCAGTCCAGCAGGATGTCTGCACTTGAGGAGCAGAGGCGGGAGGTGCCTGGCCCGCCTGGCCAGCTGCCCAGCCCGGCTGCTTGTTGGCGCTTCTCCCTTTACCACGGATTTTCTCCGGCTTCCTTGGCTCTGTGTGCCCGGCTGTTGGAGGCACACGCCAGCCCCACTGGGCACGGGCACTGGGAACACAAGCCAAGGCCTCCTGGGGAGGAGGGCACTGAGGCCAGCTCCCAGGGAACAGGCTCCTGGGGCAGCAGAGCCACACGGGCTTTCCTGTGGCCTTCTGCAGGGGCTGGGAGGACCACAGTCGGGAGAGCTTTGCTTGTGTTGCCGGTGTGCGCCTGTGCAGGAAGCTTAACTGCACATTCAAGTGGATCGTGTGTGTGTGTGTGTGTGTGTGTGTGTGTGTGTTCAGAATTTTCTGATCAGAATTGGGCTGGCTTAGCTGGTCTTATAAAGGCGCTTGCTGCCAAGCCTTATGAGCCAAGTTCCATCCCCAGGACCTACATAAAGGAGAAGAGGACTGACTCCCACAGATTGTTCTCTGACCTCCACATGTGTGGTACAATGGCAAATGCACATATACACTCACAAGTAAATAAAAAGCAATAAATTAATATTTAGGCCAGTGAGATGGCCCAGTGTATAAAGATGAATTTATGTGCTGAGTACAACCCCCAGAACCTACTTAAATGTGGCTAGGAAGACTGACGTCACAAAGCTGTCCTCTGTCATCTACGCACACCATGGCATGCACACTCTCCTCAATTAAAAAGGCAAAACAATAAATAAATGAATAAAGCTGGGCGGTGGTGGCACACACCTTTAATCCCGGCACTCGGGAGGCAGAGGCCTCTGAGTTCGAGGCCAGCCTGGTCTACAAGAGCTGTCCAGGACAGCTAGGACTGTAACACAGAGAAACCTTGTCTCGAAAAATCAAAACCAAAAAACCAAAACAAAATAATAAAATAAATGAATAAAAAAAGTGTGCCTGTGGTTTTGAGACAGGCGTTCTCACAGAGAGCACAGGGAGATCGCTGACTCTCAATCCTCCTGCCTCAGCTTCTAGGTGCCAGGATTACAAGTGCGGACTTTTATCCCTGCCAATGTGTATCAGTTAATTTATTCAGGGACTAGGGAGATGGCTCAGTAGTTAAGAGTACTGGTTGCTCTTCCAGAGGACCTGGGTTCAAATCCCAGTACCCACATGACAGCACACAACTGTCTATAACTCCAGTTCCAGGGGGTCTGATTCCCTCATACAGACATACAGGCAAAAACACTAGGACACATGAAATAAAAATAAATAAAATTTTTTAAAAATTTATTTATTAATAAGGTCTCATGTAGCTCAAGTCAGCCTCAAATCTGTTATGTAGCTGAGGATGACCTTTGAACCCCTGACCCTCTGGCCTTTACCTCCAGAATGCTGACAACCAGACATGTACCAAAGGGCTGAGTTAACGCTGTGAACGCTGTGGCCACTGGGCAAGCGCTCTACCAACTGGGCTGTAACTCCAAGCCCCATGTGTTTTTACTTATTTTCTGAATTTTTCAGATTTATTTATGTATGTGTATGTAGGTACTATGTGTGCCATGGTATGAATTTGGAGGTCAGAGGCCAACTTTCAGGAGTCAGCTTTCTCTTTCCGCTACGTGGATCTGGGGGATCAAACTCAGGCATCAGGACTGGTGGTAAGTGTCTTTCCTTGCTGAGCCATCTCACCAGTCCCCTGTGGGTTTGGAGACCAGAGGGTTCCCCGTGACTCACCCAAAGAAGTGGTACCCTGTGTGGGTCACGGAGTTGTAGCCGCTTTCTGATTCCAACCGAGTCAAAGATCGCTCCCATCTCCCTGGGAAGCCATGTGGATGGCACTGTTGCCCGTGTTCGGCACTGTCCTGGCATGCTTGGAAGGCAGGCACTCTGACTTGCCCTCCAGCCCTCCTCACCCATGCTCTCCAGCTCTCTGCTAAGTTAATGATTGAGTTTCTGAGTCACTAAGCACACATTTGGACAGTCGGTGAGGGCACACACCTGAGACAAGTCACTGGAAATAGTCTGATTAGGATCTCCGGCCCTCCTGGTCAGGTAGCCTGGGAACTAAAGGTATGTTCTAGAAGAACTCGGTGGAGGCTGTGTGCTCGCGCTGAGAGCAGTCTGCTCAGGTATTAGAAATGAAGGAATGAGTGCTATTTGCTCTCACGTCCTTAAGCATCTTGGGAATCCGGACGGAGAAGAAGGCTGTGCTGATAGGCATTGGTGGTTGTACTGGGTCCAGTGCCAGCGTCTCTCCTCACAGATGACACAGCACAGAAATGCAGACTGAGCCTCTCGGGGGCTCATTGTCGGCATGCCTTCCGCGAGCCTTGCCCTGCTGTAGGGAGTGACTGGAGCCATCAGAAATGTTTCTGAAGGGCCACATTCCTGCACCTTGGTGACCTGCAGGCCAGGACTGTTCCAGACGATTGAGTTACTGCCATGAGAACTTCAACCATACTGGGGGGCTAGCCTTGTCTACAGAGCCAGCCAGTGACACCACCGCAAACAAAGTCCAAGCTCCTGGAATGGGCGCTCTCTCCTTGAAGTGGCACCAGAGCAGACAGGGTAGAAGGCAAACCCCTTGAGGGCTTATTAAAGCTAGAAATCACAGAGCCAAGGGTGCCAGTCAGCGCTACAGTGCTTGCCCAGCCTGTCCAAGTTTCTAGGCTCAAGCCCCTGTGGGGCAGGGAAAAAACAGCCAGGTGTTGTGGCTCATGTTTTATAATTCTCAGGACTTGAAAGTCAGAGGCAGGAAGATGAGGAGTCCAAAGTCATCCTGGGGTACATAGTGAGTTGGAGGCCAGCCTAGATTGTCAGGAATTGTTAGGAAACCCTGTCCTAATGTCAGAGAGAGCAGGCAGAGTGGCTCAACTCTACAGCCCCAGCCCTCAAGCTGGAGCCTCTGATCTGCACTACCCATTCCAGACCAGCCAGCACTACACAGTAAGACCCCACCTCAAGAAAACAACAGATTAATTAGGCCGGAGAGGAGGCTCTGTGGTAAAAATGCTTGCTGAGCGATGGAAAGAAAGGACTCCTGAACGTTGTCCTCTGACCTCTACGAGCTCTAAGCTACCCTCTCATACACAGACTCCACACACAAACACATACGCTTGAAAATACTGCAGTGAAACTCATTACTTACAAAATTAATGGGGGAACAGTGGTGGTGCACGTCTTTAATCCCAGCACTCGGGAGGCAGAGGCAGGCGGATCTCTGTGAGTTCGAGACCAGCCTGATCTACAAGCGCTAGTTCTAGGACAGGTTCCAAGGCTACAGAGAAACAAAACAAAACAAAACTAACAAATAAAAATTAACAGGGGTTGGAGAGATGGCTCAGTAGTTAGGAGTGCTGCTTGTTTTACAGAGGGCCCAGGTTCGGTTACAGCATTCATAGAGTGGTTCATAACCATCTGTAACTCCACCCAGTTTTCTGGGATCTAAAGCACTTTTCTGGTATCAGTGGGCATCAGGCACGCACACAGTATGGAAACATACACACAGGAGAAACACTTGTACACATCAAATCAAATTTAAAAGTAAATAAAAATTAATGAGGGCAGCCAGAAGAGATGGCTCAGTGGCTAAGAACACTGGCAGCTTTTGCAGAGGTCCAGAATGTTTCGTGTGACACTGTGGGTTTCTGGAATACCCTAAAAGTCAGAAGTGCAGATAGCCTCGGGCCGACACATACCCAAATGGTATTCCTGGAAGTGCTGAACCCCTTACTCTGAAGGTTCAGGGGCCCCCATTTGTCAGCCCCATCCACTGTAGCACAGGCCACAGGAGGCAAGAGTATGAGTTTCTGGCTAACCTGGGCTACAAGAGGAGCCCTTCCCTCACACAGTGAAGAAAAGCTACTTCTACAAGCTGTTCTCTGATCTTCATAAGTAAGCCGCGGCACACATACAAACACACGTGTGCTCAAACACAAAATAAATTATCTAAATACTGCATGGTCTACAGTTGGATCACAGAGATCCAACTGCATCTGCCTCCTGAGTGCTGGGATTAAAGAAAGGCATAAAAAATTTTAGACCTAAAATTAAATTTTAAACCTAAAATTAAAAAAAAAAATAACCCCAGGTAATAGGACGATAGCCTGTGCCCGTGATCCCAGCTACGGGAGACTGAGAGCCAGGAGTTCGAGGCCAGTCTGACTAGTGAGGAAGACCTGTACAAACACAAAAACAACAGAGGCTTGGTGTGTAGCTCAGGGTGGAGATGTGGTAACGGAGAGACCATGTGCTCAGTCCAGAGCACTAGAAAGGGAAGTCAGTGAACCAGCTGCGACTCAGTCTCCCCCCTATGGACCTAATGGATGCCTGATAGTCTAGAAGTACTCTTTTGATACAATTCCAAACAAGAAAGTAGCCTTTGCACAAGTCCGTCTTTATTTGTAAAAAATAATATGTAACTAAAGCTAACTTGATTTTTAAAATCAAAGTTCATTTAGTGATAATGTACATTTTATAATAAAATTGTAGTAAAATACTGACATTTGATAGTTTAAACAAAGTATCATTCATGTAAAAATCATGTTATAGCATGTAAAATTTAATTAGAAAATTCATGGTTCACAACAGCACAGCATCTTGTTGACACAGCTGAGGGCAGAACAGAATTCACAGTGAGGCTCGACGTTCGCAACAACAGACCCGCATGCCAAGCCGCTAACGCTCACGCTCTCGTAAGGTGCACTGAGAACCCAGCCAGCGGGATCGGACCCCCCACAACCAAGGCTCGTTGGCCTCACAGAACGACTCCGGGTCACTTACTTCAGGAAGACCTTGGTGCAAACTCTATTGTCCTCCAAATTAAAATACGCGTCAGCAGCTTCAATCGCCATTTTCGGACAGAAGATAAATCTGTGTCTTACAGTTAAAATCTGTACAAAAGTCAAGCCCTGAAGTGTTTTCCCCAAGAGAAAAATTCTAATTTTAAAACTCTGTTTAAAAAAAAAAAAAAAAGGAGACAGAGAGAGAGAAGAGAGAGGTAGTATGTGGAAGTATTTGGACTTAAAATGTTGAGCCCGTGTGCTACTTAGCTCATGAATACAACTGAGCCTTCCATACCTAACGTTACCTTCCACCTGAGAGCCACACTGTGCTAACTCACTCCCGGTGTCAGAGCTGGACCGCTGCCAGCAAGTGGTGCTGTGTGAGAGGAAGAACTCGGTGAATGCAACAAAGTCACTGGGTCGCCGCGCCCAGCCTTGGCTATGCGCCTGCAAAGAACGCCTTCAGTATTGAGTCCAGCTCCCTTCACTGGGTGAGACTTCATCTCCGCGCTCTCACCACAGAGAAAGAGTGTCCTTCAACTCGGAGTCTTCGCTGTTGTAGGAACACATCTGGGAGGCATGCATACTTGCCCCGCCAGACGGTTAGGTAATAAATAACTGTCAGCCTCGGGGATCCACACATGTGGATCACGGTGCCTGTGCATGCCACACGAGGGCCTCTGGCGAGGGAGGACAACTGCTGTCCCCTCCTCCTGAACGGATGCACAGAAGAGAATAAATAACTCAGATAATTAACACCCCTTCGGGTGGTGAATGTGACTCGGGCTTCCCGAGGTGCAGGCAGCGCCCTAGAATCCCCAGGAAGAAAAACTCCATCTTTTGCATAAAAAGTGCACGCTTGTCCTGTGTGTTAAGTCTTTTAACTTGGGGTCCTTTTATCCAACATGATCCACACTGCCTGGTACACTGGAAGAGTGTGGAGCACACTAACTGCACAACGCACGCACGCACACACACACACACAAACACACACACACACACACGTGCGCGAGAACAATCTCCAATGAACTAGGGGTCCACTGGTGGTCAAGAGGTTAAAGGGCAGTCAGTAGGAGAAAGGCACCCTGCAACTCTGACGCTACAGGGTGGAGACAACAACAGGGGGTGCTCCAGGGCTGGGTGGTGGGAAACACCCCTAAACATGGCCAGCTAAAGAACAGAACGAAAACTGCACTTGAAAAAACAATGTCACAATCAACAGAGGAACCTTTTTAAGGGTCAGAATACATCAAGGTTGGGAATCCAAGAACTGAGGTTCCCAGTGGACCAAGGAGACATCAGACATCACAGAGGACAAACGAACGGCTCTGAGGGGCAGGAGGAGACAGGGCACTGCAGCAGGGCTGCAGGCGGGAGCAGCATCCAGCGTTGTAGAGAGCAGCACCGTCCCTGCAGCCATGCCTCTCACATGCACCATCAGTCTGCCAGCAGCCACCCATCCCAGCCACGCCTTAGGCTTGCCCAGAGAACACCGAGGCCCACAGTGCCAGTCTCGTGCCACATCTGTAGCACCTGGAAAACATGCGTGGCAGGTTCACAATGTTATGATCGTGCCGTCTTCCTCTAAAAGTCTCTGGTCCGGAGCCCGGGGTTCAAACTCTGTGTCCAGGCTGCTGGGCACAGGCACCGGGTCCTGTATCGGGGAGAACCCGTTCTGCCCTGACTCAAAGCTGAGCTCAATCTGGGTCAGGGACTCCAGGCTCTGGGCATCAGGGGCAGCCTTCGGGATCTGCTGTGGCTCGCCACTGTCTTCGATGATGATGTCGTCCTCATCGCTATCCTGGTCCTCTGGCTCAAAGCTGGCTTCCACCTGCTGCGGGTAGCCCAGCAGGCTGTTGTCGGTAGACTGGCTGGAGCTGCCAGAAGTCCGACTGTTCCTCACCACGTTGTTCCTCTGGTTGGCTGGCCGCACAGTGATGATGAGGTTGCGGCTGTTGGCTATCATCATGTCGGTCACCTGGTCCAGGCTCTTCCCAGACACCTCTATACCGTTTACTTCTAAAACTTCATCATTGACAGCGAGCAGTCCTGTGCTCTGGGCCAGACCCCCGGGGACGAGCCTGGATATGAAGATCCCGGGGACTTTCTCTAAGCCATGCGGTGTCACCCGGACACTGGAGCCGTCACGGATGTAGAAACCCAGGGGCTTCTCCGTGCCATACTTGTACAGCCGGACCCTCCGGTGGGTCTCCGGGAGGATGTCCACATCTATGATGGATGACACCGGCCGGAAGTCCTGGGGCATGCTGATGACGATGTGGGGCTTCTTCCTGTGGTTGTCAGGACGTAGCACGTTGCTCAGCACGTTCTTCTTCCGGATCAGGGTGTCCGTACCAAAGGCACTGTAGTCAGCTTCTTCTGCTCGGAGAAAGCAAACACAAGACGGTTACAGAACTGCTGGAACATAGTTACCCTCTATGGACCTGGCAAAGGATGGCGCCAGCCAACATACATGCTCAGTCGTTAGTCAGAACTTCCTCAATGAGACAAGGACTGCAATGGTGCCTGTCATGCCATAAAGAAAACACTAGAGGGCCCCCTCAGACACAGCTCAAAGGTACTAACTATCAAACTGGCCAGTGAAATTCTAATACAGCCAGGCGTGGCCCACACATCTAAGTTCAAGGCCAGCCTGAGCTATATAGCAAGCTTGAGGTCAGCCTGGATTACAGGGTGAAACCCTGTCTCAAAATCTAAAAACCAAAACAACACCACAATAAACTGCGGCTCACAGACTTCCCTCCCCCTTTTCTTGGGTAGTGTCTGGCGTTGTTAGGCTGCCCTCAGTTCCCCAGGCAGCTGAGACACTTAACTCTGGGTGTAGGTATGCCACCACTCTAAGATACAACTTCACTCCACGCAACCCCCTGCAGTGTTTTGCCTTGTACTCAAGGCAATCCTCCTGCCTCAGCCTCCTAAAAACTGGATTACAGGATATGCCACAATGCTCAACTCTTTGTCTCTTTTTTGGGTTTTCAAGACAGGGTTTCTCTGTATAACAGCTCTGGCTGTCCTGAAACTTGCTTTGTAGACCAGGCTGGCATCAAACTCACAGAGATCCGCCTGCCTCTCCCTCCCGAGTGCTCGGATTAAAGGTGCATGTGCCATCACCACCTGGTTTCATTTTTTTTAGACTTTAAATTTTTTTTATGTATGTTAAAGTTTTGCCTGCATGTATGTCTGTGTGAAGATGCCAGATCTCCTGGAACTGGAGCTATATAGTTTTGTACTGCCGTGTGGGTGCTGGAACTGAATCTGGGCCCTTTGGAAGAGTAGCCAGTGCTCTTAACCACTGAGCCATCACTCCAGCCCCCTATAAACTCATTTTCAAAAAATCAGTTTGGGCTCGCAAGATGACTCGGTGGTAAAGGTAATTGTTGTGAAGCCTGAAG